ATGAATACTCATGCAATGAAGCTCCTGGTTCACAGTTTTTGTGCTGATGTTAAGAGCAGAAGAAGTTATTAAGTCAGCAGAGCATTAGCTATTTCTCATCCACTATGTCCCTCTGTACTCAGCAACATCACTCTACAACTTTACGTGGTCTGCCACTTGGTCCTTAAAAGCTTTCACTTTGCATCAATGCCGCTTACAATTGATGATGGAATATCCGGGAGGGAAGAAATTTCACAAACTGACTTGCTATTATAGTGCCACGCTCGAGTTCAGTGAACTCTTTAGTACCAAACATTCTTTCACATTCTTTTGTAAAGGCAGACTGCATGGATAGGTGCTTGATGTTATACACTTGTTGCAATGGAATTTACAAAACACCTTAATTCAAAGATGAAGAGGTGTGGCACTTTTGTCCATATAGTGAACTTTTGGACAAGGCTAATTCTGACACGTTCATGTGGCTGTTAACAATTTCTTGGGTTTTTTTACATTTTTGGTCACATCAATTAAAACACCAGTTTTTCTTTAACTCCATGGAAAAAGATGGAAAGCATTTCTGTATTACTTTATAACAAGTTACAGTTTTACCAAGTACACCACTGATGTTAGAATTCTAAATATGGACAAATCAGTGCACTGATTTTTATTTCCATGTCTACTGAGTTTATTCAACTTTATCTGGCTTTCAACATATGCCCCACCCCCTGCATTCGTAATACACATTCCAGTTTGCAATGAGACGGTATGTCATGTAGTCAGGCAAAAACCTTTTGATCTGCATTAGAGGCAAGTTTACAGTAACTTTGAGTAATCTGCAATATATGAACTATGTTACTCTGCTTCCCATTAAACAAATAACATACAACGATTTAGTGTGCTGTCACCTTTACTACAAAAATAAACTACTTGCTTACCGATATCATTATTTGAATAAATAAACCAAGTCCAAAGTCATTAAGAAGCGGGTTACAGTGGGGTTTCCACTCTGTGTTGTATGCAATTACAGCCCTTACGCAGAGTGTTTTGACATATTTATGGACTGCATTGTTTTTTTTGTACAATTACCTA